ATGGTGGGGAGCTTTACCCTGCTTTGCAGAGCACTTTGGGAACTTTGCACAAAAACCGCTAGCGAACGATACACTGTTATTAGCCTTCCTGGGTAGCGCCTAGAGATTTCAGCAAGTCTGGGCCCTCAATATGCTGGATGCTTTACAAGCATATAGTATAGCCCCGGCCCCAAGGAGCTGCAGATCTATAACATTCAATCTATTATTAGCCTCCCTTCTGGGCAGGTAACTCTTATTACTTCCTTTTCAGAGGTGGGTAAACTGAGGCACGCAACCTGCCCAATGCAGTGGCAGAGGTAGGGATGGAACCCCGAGCCTAGAATCCACAGCCGGAAGGGACCATTTCCGCTCATCTGGTCCGGCCTGTGCGCTCCCTCGCCCAGAGATGCCTGTGTCAAACACCCAACACCCTCCCTTAGCTAGGCAGTGAAATGCGTGTTGATACCTAGGGCCGGGCTGGACAAGAATGGGGGAAGCGGATGTGGATCTGCGGCACTGCCCTTAGCAATTGCCTACCATGAGGGGGAGACAGCAGGTGCCCAGCCACCGGGGATCCCAGGGTTCAAACCCACCTTGCTCAGGGGTCGGTGGTCCCGTGCTTTGGCTGCGCTTTGGCATTTGGCTGCTCTAGATCACGGCGGTGCTTCGATCCCTTAGTCGGGTCCTCCCTGGTGGAGCCCTTGAAAGCCCTCGCGGGCCTGAACCCAGTGAAGGCAGCTGGAGTTTGCCAGCCAGGCATGGGGTGTGCCGGGCCGGCTGCTGGGAGCTCAGCAGGCTAAACGGAGCAGCACAGGGTTGCCCACCACGTGCCCTGAACGGAGCCACACACACACACACACACACAGATTCTGGTGAGACGCTCCAGCAGGGGGCAGCATCCTGACCCAAAAGGCTCTTCCCTGACTGTGTGCCCTTTCTCCACCCTGCACTTGGCAGCTGCACCCGCCCCGAGTGTGGGAGACCCAGAAACATCAGGGCAATGCCAGGAGGCCTTTACTGGGGGGCGCTGGTGCTGTCCCGGCCCAAACAGCCTGGGCTTCCCCTGGGAGAGAGAGAGAGAGCGCCACGGGAATGGGCTGGAATGATTCTGATGAGGATTCTGTATGGAGGCTGCTGGACACAGACAGACCATGTGGGTCTCTCCGGCTCCCAGCTGATTCACGGCCTGTGCTGCCTAGCACCTCCCTCCCGCCTGGCCTCGCCCGGTCGCTCATGGAAGGGACCACTGGCTGCACTGCCTTGTCTTGGCTAGAACGGCGTGTGCCAGGCTGCTGAGCGGGGGCTTTTCGTGCACAGCCACGGGGCACCCTCCTTTGGAGTTTAAGTCCTGGCCCCACTCCTTAGCCATGGCGGGGGCTTTCCAGCGCCACTCAGCGTTGGCCGAGCGCCGCTCCCACCGAAGTCAATGGGCGTTTTATCGGTGCAGCCAGCGGGATGTTTACGACTGACCTCAATGGGAACGGCGTTGGGTTAACATTGAAAACCCACCCGTCCCTGCTCCGTGCCTCAGTTTCCCTTATGTGTACGATGGTGCTGAAATGCTTTCCCCACCTCCCTGGGCTGATTCAATCCAAGGGGCTTTGAGATCCTCAGAAGGAGGGTTCTGCAGCAGGGCTACGTGCTAGTCCAACACCCCCCACTTTCCTGATGCTGCTTAGAGACTAGCCGGAGCTGGGGAGAGCGGGGCAGCGGGATGAGTAGATGAATAAAGGCCTGTGCGCTGGGGGAATGAATCGGGGCCTCTGGGAAGAATTTTAATTGTGGTGCCTTTTCCAGCTCTGTTCCATTTAAAGAGAGGCCAGCACCTGATTTTATCCACTGTGCCCGGGCGGTGACAGTACAGGACACATCCCATTCTGCCAGCCCGGCCTCCCATCATGGGGGTGGGCGGGTCCCAGCTCAGAGCAGGGCAGGCTGAGAAGAAGGTGTTGTGGAGATCTGTTCAGTGTGAGCGCCCCGATTAAAGGCCAGACTCCACACGCTGGTTTGCTATTGCAGGCGGCTCCTTGGATTGCTCACACTGATTTATTACGGTAGGGCCGCTCAGGAGTGCTGGGCTGCCCCTGCTGGGTTATTATTGTAGGGTCACCTACTGAGTGGAACTCACTGATTTATTTATCAGAGGGTTGTTCGTGGGTGGTTTGTTATTGTAGGGTTGCTTGTATGACGCTGCAGCCACTAATTGTTTTGATGTGCAGGGTGGAGAAAGGTATGGAAGTGTTTGCTTTGAAAATGAAAAGAGTTGATCTAAAGAGCTCCGGGATGAGGCTCTTGGTGGGAAATCATACCACTTCTTCTCAACCTTGGCCATGCCCGCTTAAGAAACCCCTGTGCAGAGAGAACCTGCGGGATCCAATCCACAGTCACAGACTAGGGGTCGGGGAAAGCACCGGTGCTGGGATAGAATCCTAGATTGAGGTCATCAGATGGGCTTGAACCTCAGGACAAGCCTCTACCAACTGAGCTAAGGGAGTAACTCCAACAGCAGGTAGAGGTAGTAGGCTGCTATCTTTTGTTAAACCGGGACATGATGCCCAGTTTGTCAATGCAGCATGTTACATAAGCGGGGAGAGGGACAACGTATTGTTTGTTTGTGCTGTGAGGCACCTCAGAGCTTGTCAGAAATCAGACGTCCTTTCTGTGAAGACCACTGTGATATTGGAAAAACAAACACTTCATCCTGAATCAGGACAAAGGATCTAAAACGTTCGCACAACAAAATTTTGAATTTTTGTTTAAACTCTAGTCAATCAAAACGTCTCGTCTCCGGCACATTTCAAACATTTGGTTTTAGTTTTGACCCTTTTTAATGTATTCTTTTTCAAAATATAAAGTAAAGCAAATTTCGAGACACAAAGCCGTTTCCCAATGGAAAAGCAAAACTTTCCATTCCGAAAAGGTCAGAATAGGCTGCAGCGACATTTCCAAAACAGGGCGGGTCGTGTTTTCAAAACGAAAGGTTGTCAAAATCGATACGATTTCACGATCAATTTCAGGTGAATCAAAATGGCATTTTCTGACAGAAAACTGTTTTGAGGAAAAATGTGCAACCAGTGATAAAACAGCCTGAGGAAGGGTGGGGATAGGACACAGGGGACCTCAATTTAACTCCTAGTTCTACCCCTGACTGTGTGGGACCTTTGGCACATCAAGTTACCGCCCTGTGCCTCAGTTTCCCCATCTGTAACGTGGCGATAATACTAACCCACCTTTGCAAAGAGCCTTGGGAACGAAGGCTGGAAAGGGCCGTGTATTGGGTTATTTAGTAGAGTCACAGCGCCATACAATACAGTGTCACTATTGCAAGGTGCAGCGGGTTGGACCATTATTGCGGAATACCATAGGCACTGCCTGTGGTCGCTGGGCTCTGTCTGTGCGTCTGTTTCTACCTCGGGCTATCGACGGAGGCTCGTTTACGTCCCTTGTCACTACAGAACCTGGGCAGACAAGTTCAGGCGGCGTCCTCAGCACGTGCCATCATCAATCCCCTTTTCCTTTCAGGGCCTGAGCCAATTCACCCCCAGAGGGGCTCTTGGCCTCGGGAACTAATTGTGCCGCTTCCTGGCATAGCATAAGGAAAAGAAATTGAACTCTGGGCTCCGAAACGGCGCTGATTCCAAACACAAGAGGCGCCGGCTGTGTAATGTGGCAGAGATTTCGCGGGCCACACACACATGGCTGAAAGACCGGGAGACGCCTGCTGTGCCCCTAAGACCTGTAGGAGAAATGACTTCACTGGTAAATGACTGCAGAGGCATATGCCCCAGTCGTCGAGTGGGTCTTTCCAGGCCAGGCTCCCAGCTCCCGGGCACTGGTCTGAGGGATCTTTTGTGTTATGATTAAATCTCACCGAGTAGCGTTAGACATGAGTATTAGACTCCCCTGCCCACTGTCACCCACCACGCAGGGATGGGTGCCGGGTAGGACAAGGGGCCTGGCTGGGCACCCCCCGTATTAATTGGTCTCAAGCAGGGAACGAGGGAAGCTGGAATATGTGACTCACAGACCCGTCTAGGCCCTGCTGTGCTGAACACGTGTGCTCTCCGAGGGGCGCCGGGCGTTATTAACGCTCTGGTTCTGGGACCTCCGCCCTGTTTCAGTGGCTCCTTCGCTGCAGGGAAGGAAGAAAAGCGGCTTTGTCTGCTCCAGTGGCCATTGTTTTCTTTGCTTTGTTTTGTTTGGCTTCCGAAAGAACCATTTGCATTGTCCTGATTGCCCCCCGCCCCACCTCCTCCAGCTCTGCTGTTACTCCTCAAGCCTGGCCTACAATGGTCCCTGTTATGCCAGCGCTGGGCTCCCCACACACGGCTCGGCCAGTGTGATCGGGGCAGGGCATGTGTCAGGCGCACCAGCAAAAGGCGAGGCGGTGGGGACTGGAACAACATGACAAACTGCACATCGGGACTGAGGGGCACTGGCACAGCGGGGTGTGGGGTGCCAGGAGTGGACTAGCAGGGGGCTGCACGTCGGGGTTGAGGGGTTTATGAGTGCTCGTGAGTCACTGTATATTTTGGCCAGACAGGTGTGACTTCGTGTGATTGTGTGTCCATGGATCATGTGTGGGTGTTGTGTACCTATGAGTGGCAATGCGTGGGATCTGTGTTCATAAGGGTGCTTATGTCCTGGCTTGTGTGGCTGTTTATAGGTGTGTGTGTGTGTGTGTGTGTGTGTGTGTGTGTGTGTGTGTGTGTGCGCGCGCACCTGTCTTCGCCGTGGACGCCACCCGTACCCCGGAACGGG